TATAGTTATACCAACGCTCTTGTATGGGCGTGAGGCATGGGTTGTGAATGTTCCAAGAGGGAGAAGGCTGGAGGCAGTGGAGATATCATATCTGAGGGCAATGTGTGGTGTGAATATTATGCAGAGAATCCGCAGTTTGGAAATTAGGAGGTGTGGGATTACCAAAACTATTATCCAGAGGGCTGAGGAGGGGTTATCGAGATGGTATTGAGAGAAGATGGAACGAAATAGAATGACTTGGAGAGTATACAAATCTGTAGTGGAGGGGAGGCGGGGTAGGGGTCGGCCTAGGATATGTTGGAGGGAGGGGGTAAAGGAGGTTTTGTGTGCGAGGAGTTTGGACTTCCAGCAAGCGTATTTAAGCGTGTTAGACAGGAGAGAATGAAGATAAATGCTTTTTAGGACTTGACGTGCTGTTGGAGTGTGAACAGAGTAACATTTATGAAGGGATTCAGGGAAACCGGCAGGCCGGACTTGAGTCCTGGAGATGGGAAATACAATGTCTGCGCTCTGAAGGAAGGGTGTTAATGTTGCAGTTTTATAACTGTAGTGTAAAGCAACCCTCTGGCAAGACAGTGACGGAGTGAATGATTAAAGTTTTTTTTTTTTCGGGCCACCATACCTTGGGGGGCAACGGCCGATGTGTTAATAAAAAAAATATGTAAAATGCATTTAGTTGGATTAGGCAGAATTAATTTGCGCTTGTTATAATAAGGATAAGTAAGTTTTCTAAGCTTCATGTACAAAAATATTAATTTTTACATTAACATGAATGAAAAAAAGGACTTAATTTTAAACGAGTTCAATGAGGTCAGTGGTCACGTGTGGTCATACCTGCCTAAGCTCTTGGGAGTTAGCGTGGGCTGTTACCAAGCACCATGACTTGTTATAGTGTTTTAGAATCTCAGGTTCAAGTGTTGAAGAAGGAGATTCTACTTCTTCAGGAGGAAAATAGGAGGCTGAAGCTTCGCATAGATGAGTTTGGGAGTGAGGGTGAGAAGGATTTAGCTGGTAAGGAGGAAATGGTCACCAGCAGTGATAGTGGCAGCCCCTTTAAGTGGCAAGTGGTTCTCAGTTCAGGAAGAAGGAAGATGAGGAGAGTTCACAGAGAAGATGTGAAAGTAGGAAATCGATTCTCTGTTCTCCAAGACGAGTGTACTTCAGTGGTTAGTGAGGCTGAAGGTACCACTGATTCCCCTGCTAATCAAGGTAAAAATATTTTAATAGTAGGCGATTCTTAGGTAAGATATATGGACCATGCATTTTGTAACAGACAGAAAAGTCAGACAGAGAGTGTGCCTTCCTGGAGCTGGTGTTGGTGACATAGTCAACAGGTTGGATAATATTAAGGCAGGTAATGGGAACAAGCCCATTATCTGTCTTAGTGCTGGGAGTAATGGCATTGGGAAGGGCAGGAGAGAGGAGCTGCTGGATAAGTACAGGTCAGCCAAAGACGTAGTTAGGTCTAAAGGGAGGGATCCCAGTCATATGTAGCATCTTGCCTAGAAAGGGAGTGGGCAATGAATGGATGTCTAGGGCAATTGGTACAAATTGCTGGCTAGACAGGTACTTGCAATCCCATTCATTGATAACTGGGACCTATTCTTTGGCAAACGTGATATGTATGCAAGGGATGCGGTTCATCTCTCTTGGGATGGAGTGGTTGCATTAGCCAATTTGATTGAGAGGGTAATTGATGACTTGTCTAGGAATTTAAACTGATAGATTATAGAGGTATGGGTGTTTGTGGGAAACAATCAGGCTGTAGCATTAGGGTTAAAAATAGCAGTTATTACCGGAATACCTCAGGAATATGTTTAAAAGACAATATTCAAAATAAAGTTGCTAGCAATGGCAAATCAAATTGATCAACAAACAAAGTGAGATAGTAGAGGGCAACGAGTAACTAGCTCCCTTAAGGTTTACTATACAAATAGTAGGTGTCTGAGAAATAAGATAGATGAGCTAAGATTACTTGCAAGTGTAGGTAATATAGATATTATTGGTATAACAGAGACCTGGTTCAACCTAAAAGATAGAGAAATGCCTTCTGAATGCAACATACAAGGTTATAAACTATTCCACACTGGTAGGGTCAACAGGAAGGGTGGTGGAGTGGCGATGTATATCAGAGATAATTTAAATTGTCTTAGATATGTAAAATTAGAAACATCGAACACAGAATCTGTTTGGCTACAGTTTCTCGAGGAACGTGACAAATTAATTTTGGGTGTGATTTATAGGCCCCCAAACCTTGATAGGCAGTGCGGTAAGCTGTTATGGGACGAAACTCATAAGGTATCTACATATGAAAATGTTGTGATAATGGGAGATTTTAACTTTAGACAAATTGATTGGAACAATATGACAGGAAATCTTGAGTCTAGCGACTTTCTCGATACGGTTCAGGATTGCTTTTTAGATCAGGTTGTTACAGAACCAACTAGAGGAAACAGTCTGCTTGACATGGTACTTGCCAACAAAGATTCACTAATTAATAATCTTGAGGTTAATGATGAGCTTGGGGAAAGTGATCACAAATCACTTAGTTTCAATATATCATGGAATTACCCAGATAACTGCAATCAAATCTCTGTCCCAGATTTTCGCTTGGCCGACTTCATGGGACTGAAAAATTACTTGGGTGGGCTAAATTGGGATGTCCTGACTATGGATCAGGAAGGCGATCTTGGTTGCCAATATGACGTTTTTCAGAGCATAGTTCTAGCTGCCCAAACAACTTTTGTTCCGAGTAGGGAAATTAGATCAAACAAAAATGATCCCAAATGGATGAACACTAGATTAAAACATTTCATTGGTCAAGAGAGAGGCATATATCGGCGTATCAAAAGAGGGGATGGGCAGTTAAGAAATCAATATATTCAATTAAAGAGAGAAATAAAGAAAGGAATAAGAAAAGCAAAAAGGGATTATGAGGCTAAGGTCGCAAGGGATTAAAAGACTAACCCAAAAGGGTTCTTTCAGGTATACGGAAGTAAAATTAGGGACAAGATTGGCCCACTTAAGAGTAACTCTGGTCAGATCACTGACAGTGATAAGGATATGTGTGAAATCCTCAATACCTACTTCCTCTCAGTTTTCACCCAGGAAAATACTAGCGATATTCCTGAATAAATTATGTAGAACAGGATGATTATAATCTATGTACGACTGCGGTAACTAGTGACATGGTCCTCAGACAAATAGAGAAACTAAAACCTAACAAATCCCCAGGTCCTGATGAACTGTTTGCAAAGATGTTAAAGGAATGTAAAGAGGAACTTAGCATACCTTTGGCTAATCTTTTTAACATAACACTACAAACTGCCATAGTGCCTGATAAGTGGAAAATGGCAAATGTTTTACCTATTTACAAGGCAGGTGACAGGTCCTTGGCTTTGAACTATAGACCAATAAGCCTTACCTCCATAGTGGGAAAATTTATGGAGTCAGTAATTGCTGAAGCAATTCGTAGCCATCTTGATAGGCACAGATTGATTAATGAATCTCAATATGGTTTTACAAAGGGGCGTTCCTGTCTTACGAATTTACTAACTTTTTTCGCTAAGGTGTTTGAGGAGGTAGATCATGGTAATGGATATGATATTGTGTATATGGACTTCAGTAAGGTTTTCGATAGAGTTCCATACCAGAGGCTATTGAGGAAACTTAAGGCACAAGGAATAGGAGGAGAAATTTTTTTCTGGGTAGAGGCATGGCTGACAAATAGGCAGTAGAGAGTTTGCATAAATGGGGAGAAATCAGAATGGGGGCACGTCACAAGCGGTGTTCCTCAGGGGTCAATGTTGGGCCCGTTGTTGTTTACAATTTACATAAACGACATAGATGAGGGAATAAATAGCGACATAAGCAAATTTGCTGATGACACCAAAATAGGCCATCCAATTCATTCTAATGAGGACATTAGAGCACTCCAGGATGATTTGAATAGACTGATGCAATGGTCGGAGAAGTGGCAGATGCAGTTTAATATAGACAAATGCAAAATTCTAAATGTTGGACAGGTAAATAACCATGCCACATATAAACTAAATAATGTGGATCTTAATACTACTGATTGCAAAAAGGATTTAGGAGTTCTGGTTAGCAGTAATCTAAAACCAAGACAACAGTGCATTAGTGTTCGCAATAAAGCTAACAGAATTCTTGGCTTCATATCTACAAGTATAAATAATAGAAGTTCTCAGGTTGTTCAACTCTATATATCCTTGGTTAGGCCTCATTTAGACTATGCTGCTCAGTTCTGGTCACCATATTACAGAATGGATATAAATGCTCTGGAAAACGTACAGAGGAGGATGACAAAGATCATCCCATGTTTAAGAAATCTTCCCTATAAGGATAGACTGAGGGCCCTGAATCTGCACTCTCTCGAAAGGCGTAGAATTAAGGGGATATGATCGAGGTGTATAAATGGAAAACAGGAATAAATAAAGGGGATGTAAATAGCGTACTGAAAATTTCCAGCCACGACAGGACTCGCAGCAATGGTTTCAAGTTGGAAAAATTCAGATTCAGGAATATAGGAAAGCACTGGTTTGGTAATAGAGTTGTGGATGAGTGGAACAAACTCCCGAGTACAGTTATTCAGGCTAAAACGTTTTGTAGTTTTAAAAATAGGTTAGATTAAATACATGAGTTTGTGTGAATTGGACCTGACTAGCCTGTGCTGCTGGGTCTGGTGCCGTGCTCCATCCTTGAGTGGAGGTGACCCGATTGGGTGGGTCATTGGGATTATCCGGGGGGGTCATTGAGCTTATCCGGGGGTTACATGGACCTGCTCTGCATGGGTCAATAGGCCTGTTGCAGTGTTCCTTCTTTCTTATGTTCTTAATTGACCGGTTTTACCTATACTGCACGATATATATATATATATATATATATAATATATATATATATATATATATATATATATATATATATATATATATATATATATATATTCCTTCAGTACTTCCTTATATTTCTTTTCTTAATAGATCCATCAAGCAGTAGCGATAAAAACTGAAACAGAGTTCTATCGTCGAGGCATGAGTGTCTTGGAAGACAATGGCGAGGGTTACACTAGTGGGGCACTGTACTGGCAGCTCAATGATATCTGGCAAGGGGCATCTTGGGCATCAATTGGTAAGTTTATACTCCTGTGCTCCTTACAGTCAATTTCCATGTATATTGTGTTATGCAGCATTGTATGCGAACCGTTTAAAGCAGTGGTTCCCAAACTTTTTCAGCTTGTTACCCAATTTAACATGCCACATAAAGCATGTTACCCCTTTCACAAAATGTTGTTATTATTGATATATATGGCTAAACGTGAACGTATACAGCCTCGCATACTCTGCTAATCCTAGCAAAACCATTGAAAACGTAAGAACCACACATACATTATATATAAAATTAATAATAGCTACAAATTCACAGTAACAGTGGGTAAATACTAACTATATACTGCACAGGGCAGTACACATACATACCAGCTTATGTCTACCTCGGCTGATGCTCACAGATAAACTGACAGTGTGAAATAGAGGCAGCCTCAGGAAGTGAGTGACGCATACTGGACAGGTCGATCTGGGCTACTGAGTGACTTTTGTCCTGAAGCATACTTGTCAAAATACTTTTGGGTTTCCACACACTTAGCTATATATTTCTTCTTTTCTAATACTGTATATTAGTTTTTGATGTTTATTGTTATTTGGTTTAACTGTATTACTTACTTATAATAGGTTTACTTTACAACTTTATATACTAAGACAAAGTTAACAATAATCCTCATACCGGGTACCGCATTGTTTTCTTGATTTTCAGAATTCATAACTTTTTTCTGTCACCCCTCCATTACCCCCCAAAAATGGTTAAATTACCCCCAGGGGGTAATTTACCCCCAGTTTGGGAACCACTGGTTTAAAGAATCGATGAAATGAAGATGATTGAGTATATGTCGTAAAATGTGTATCCCAATGGGACGGTTATAATGGTATACTGAGAATATAGTTGGTTGGAAGCCCAGCCTGCAGTGTGATGTCGTGACTGCTTGTGTATGTGACTGGGTACGACGCCCTGCGACCCAGCCTCACAGCGCTAGCAGCGTCATAGCAGTTCAAACTATGCTGAGATGACAGTATTTGATAGGTCCATGGCATCACGGCTAGCGTATTTGAAATATGCTGACATCTATGTATGGAAACAGAACCAGAATTGATTGACATAGCCATAATTTTAAGAGAGTGAGCTATCTAGGTGCCACACGCATCACCAAGCACCTATATCCACAGTGTTGGACCATAAGACATATATGCTCTCTGTAAGTAGACAAAATTAACAATAGTACTCTTGTCAACTCGTAAATTTGTAGAAGACAGACAAAATGTTCAGTATGAACTGAAGATAATATACAGTTGTGAAAAATATTTCTAGGGCAAACAATATACGAGATGCTATAGAAAAGTTCGTGTACTCGAATTTTCGATCACTTGTGAGGAAATATGACGGCGGCGTAGATCACGCTACTCTACACTGCTACACTGTACACTGTTACACTGTTGCACTGTACACTGCTACTCTACACTGCTACACTGTACACTGCTACACTGTACACTGCTACACTGTACACTGTTACACTGTTGCACTGTACACTGCTACTCTACACTGCTACACTGTACACTGCTACACTGTACACTGCTACACTGTACACTGCTACTCTACACTGCTACACTGTATACTGCTACACTGTACACTGCTACTCTACACTGCTACACTGTACACTGTTACACTGTACACTGCTACACTGTACACTGCTACACTGTACACTGCTACACTGTACACTGCTACTCTACACTGGTACACTGTACACTGCTACTCTACACTGCTACACTGTACACTGTTACACTGTACACTGCTACATTGTATACTGCTAAACTGTACACTGCTACTCTACACTGTACACTGCTACACTGTACACTGCTACACTGTATACTGCTACACTGTACACTGCTACACTGTATACTGCTACACTGTACACTGCTACACTGTATACTGCTACACTGTACACTGCTACACTGTACACTGCTACACTACGGTGCTACACTGTACGCTGCTACACTGTACACTGCTACACTGTATACTGCTACACTGTACACTGCTACTCTACGCTGCTACACTGTACACTGCTACACTCTATACTGCTACACTGTACACTATTCTACACTGCTACACTGTACACTGCTACACTGTATACTGCTACACTGTACACTGCTGCACCGTACACTGCTACACTGTACACTGCTACACTACGCTGCTACACTGCTACACTGTATACTTCTACACTGTACACTGCTACAATACGCTGCTACACTGTACACTGCTACACTGTACACTGCTACACTGTACACTGCTACACTGTACACTGCTACACTGTATACTGCTACACTGTACACTGCTACTCTACGCTGCTGCACTGTACACTGCTACACTATACTGCTACACTGTACACTGCTACACTGTACACTGCTACACTGTACACTGCTACACTGTACACTGCTTCACTGTGCACTGCTACACTCTACGCTGCTACACTGTACACTGCTACACTGTACACTGCTTCACTGTACACTGCTACACTGTACGCTGCTACAATGTACGCTGCTACACTCTACGCTGCTACACTGTACACTGCTACTCTGTACACTGCTACACTGTACACTGCTACACTGCTACACTGTACGCTGCTACACTGTACGCTGCTACACTGTACGCTGCTACACTGTACGCTGCTACACTGTACGCTGCTACACTGTACACTGCACGCTGCTACACTGTACACTGCTACACTGTACGCTGCTACACTGTATACTGCTACACTGTACACTGCTACACTGTACACTGCTACACTGTACACTGCTACACTGTACACTGCTACACTGTACACTGCTACACTGTACACTGCTACACTGAAACACTGCTACACTGTACACTGCTACACTGTACACTGCTACACTACGCTGCTACACTCTACACTGTACACTGCTACACTCTACGCTGCTACACTGTACGCTGCTACACTGTACACTGCTACACTGTACGCTGCTACACTGTATACTGCTACACTGTACACTGCTGCACTCGACGCTGCTACACTGTTACACTGTACACTGCTACACTGTACACTGCTACACTCTACGCTGCTACACTGTACACTGCTACACTCTACGCTGCTACACTCTACACTGCTACACTCTACGCTGTACATTGCTACACTCTACGCTGTACATTGCTACACTCTACGCTGCTACACTGTACACTGCTACGCTGTACACTGCTACAGTGTACACTGCTACACTGTACACTGCTACACTCTACGCTGCTACACTCTACGCTGCTACACTCTACGCTGCTACACTCTACGCTGCTACACTCTACGCTGCTACACTCTACGCTGCTACACTCTACGCTGCTACACTCTACGCTGTACATTGCTACACTGTACACTGCTACGCTGTACACTGCTACAGTGTACACTGCTACACTGTACAATGCTCAGTGAAGTACCCTGGCGAGTTTCACTACTGCCGGTCATACCATTGTGACTGACTCCCCATATGATCACGGAATCACTGGAGGTCATTTAATAAAATAATACTTTACACCTTGGTTGTATTTCACACGCTATAGATGTAAATTAATTTCATTTAGAAACCGTATTTTTTCTGAATGTTACTATAGCATCATTGTAAACTGAATTAAATTCTAGTCGTAACAGGAGAAGAATGAACTAAAATATAGAACCTATAAAGGCCGAATGGATTAATTTCTCAATGTATAGGATGATAGATGAGAGGCCTCACCACACTTGAAGCTCTGTAATGTTTCTTTATCTATGTCATTAAGAAAAGTCAAAAGGAAATTAACTAGATGTATTTCGGTTGCTGTGCCCCATGTACCCCAGTGTTGTGCCCCCTGCACCTCACTGTTGTGCCCCCTGCACCTCAGTGTTGTGCCCCCTGCACCTCACTGTTGTGCCCCCTGCACCTCAGTGTTGTGCCCCCTGCACCTCAATGTTGTGCCCCCCTGCACCTCAGTGTTGTGCCCCCTGTACCTCAATGTTGTGCCCCCTGCACCTCAGTGTTGTGCCCCCTGTACCTCAATGTTGTGCCCTCTGTACCTCAGTGTTGTGTACCCTGTGCCTCAGTGTTGTGCCCCCTGTACCTCAGTGCTGTGCCCCCTGCACCTCAGTGTTGTACCTCCTGCACCTCAGTGTTGTGCACCCTGTACCTCAGTGTTGTGCCCCCTGTACCTCAGTGTTGTGTACCCTGTACCTCAGTGTTGTGCCCCCTGTACCTCAGTGCTGTGCCCCCTGCACCTCAGTGTTGTGCCCCCTGTACCTCAATGTTGTGCTCCCTGCACCTCAGTATTGTGCCCCCTGTACCTCAGTGTTGTGTACCCTGTACCTCAGTGTTGTGTACCCTGTACCTCAGTGTTGTGCCCCCTGCACCTCAGTGCTGTGCCACCTGCACCTCAGTGTTGTACCCCCTGCACCTCAGTGTTGTGCACCCTGTACCTCAGTGTTGTGCCCAATGTACCTCAGTGTTGTGCCCCCTGCACCTCAGTGTTGTGCCCCCTGTACCTCAATGTTGTGCCCTCTGTACCTCAGTGTTGTGTAACCTGTACCTCAGTGTTGTGTACCCTGTACATCAGTGTTGTGCCCCCTGCACCTCAGTGCTGTGCCACCTGCACCTCAGTGTTGTAACCCCTGCACCTCAGTGTTGTGCACCCTGTACCTCAGTGCTGTGCCCCCTGTACCTCAGTGCTGTGCACCCTGTACCTCAGTGTTGTGCCCCCTGCACCTCAGTGCTGTGCCACCTGCACCTCAGTGTTGTAACCCCTGCACCTCAGTGTTGTGCACCCTGTACCTCAGTGCTGTGCCCCCTGCACCTCAGTGTTGTGCACCCTGCACCTCAGTGTTGTGCCCCCTGCACCTCAGTGCTGTGCCCCCTGTACCTCAGTGCTGTGCCCCCTGTACCTCAGTGCTGTGCACCCTGTACCTCAGTGCTGTGCCCCCTGCACCTCAGTGCTGTGCCACCTGCACCTCAGTGTTGTAACCCCTGCACCTCAGTGTTGTGCACCCTGTA